TGATCCAGTGATATCTACAGCAGGAGATGAATTAACGGGGAAGTTTGGCTACACTGAGACTGGCAAACAACACAGGGTAAGGGTCCGTTTGCTGGCTCTAAATCCAGCTGCTATGGCCTGGCCACCATAATATTAAGTCCTTTTAGCCTCTACAACAGGGTGGCTGCCTCCCAGCACCCACTGGCAATGGGTTCTGCACTGAGCTCCAAACCATGCCCGGGAGCTGCTTGGGAGACTACTAGCTAACCCCAGTCAAAACTAGCCCGGAGACTACACTAGCAAGTTAATAGTATAGGTGTTTAACAGCCCAGGCCCTACCGCTGTATAATTTATTAGTAAAGACATTCCCTTATGGCCATTTGACTTCAGTTCAGAGGACTGGGTCTGCCAATTTCTTTCATTTACAGGTTAAGCTCAGCGTGTCCCTCATCTCAGTCTGTCCCCATTCAGTAACACAGTAAACATAAAGATAGCAAAATTCATTATGCAAGCTGGGGGAGTCTAACGTGTGGGAAGGGAGAGTTTGGGCACAGTGGCATGGGAAAGTCAGCTTCCCTAATTTACGCCATTCACGGCAAGACGCCACAAATATGCAAATACAACTGTTTGTGAAGAATGTCAGTCTGGGGCTGGAAAAGGTAGGCTTGGTGATTTGTATTGACATTTAGCTTAACTTCTAATTGTCTTCCTTTTGTCATTTAAGCATATGTCAAAGATGGTTGCACAGGACGTGTTCTTTCATAGCTAGCACTGTACGTACTAAAGTCATCTGTTCAGGGCAAGTCCTTCAGCTGCTTAAGACTTTGATCCTGCAAGTCTTTCTCAAGTGTGAAGCAAAAAGCAAGAGGCTATTGCATTCAGGCACAAGCATGAACAGGTCCAGGAACAGCATAGGGGAAGGAGAAGTCTTCCCACCTCCCTTCTCAAGAACACTCTTAACAGTAAACTCAAGCTCAAACCCGGAGAGCTCAAGGTAGAAACAGGTCAGGTTGAGGCAGACACAGGCTGGGATAAGCCAGGGCTTAGGTGTAATGAGGCTGTCATAGGGATATGCTGATGGGACAGCTAACTCATCTCTTTGGGATTCGCCTGACCAAATGCAGACTACTAGAACTGACATGTCTATATGTGAACTTCTCACCTAGACTTGCTTTAGAGTCAATGGACAAGAGACAGGCACTTCTAAGGCACTGCTAGGGACCGGTACAGCTCATCCACAGACTGCCAGGCAAATTGTGTCCTGCAAGTGCTAGTTTCTCCCCACTGACCCTAAAGGGAGCCCAGGGTGACCATCTCAGATGTGGATGTCTACCTTGCAGACGCATGAACTCAGAGGAGATCACACCTCCTTCAGCTACTGCCTAACAGCCCTCTGGTGACTGCAGGAACAATCCAACCTGTAGTCCCTGCTCTGAACCTTGCCTGTGCAGAGGACTTGCTGGATTGATCCCAAAGCTTTATGTAAAATGACTGTGATGCGTATTTATATGAATCATATATATTAGTTACATAATAGACACCCAGGCTCCCCATCCCACATGCATTTTGGTTATGCACAGGGCACAAAGACTGTGAGTGCATTCACTATGAATCATACAATAAGATTACCTCCCTGAGGCAAAACTCTTTCTAAAATGACCATGCTCATATATTCCCATGGTTTCCACTACAATATTATTTAATTAAGAATATTAATCTGCTAGGCCACCAACTTTCACTGTCTTTTCTGGAAGTCTCAGTAGACAGCTATTTTAATAAAATATAGGAAATAAATTCAAGGAATCCTGCTCTTTTTATTATTGAGTTGGTGCAATAAGGTAAGTCGCATGGCCTCTTGAGCCTGTTTTTCATCTGTTCTTGATATGAACATGAGACTTATGCACCAGCGATACCATTGGTTGCATGGGTTGCATGGGTTTTGCCAGCTGGTCTTTATTTTGGTTTGGTTTGGTTTCTTTTCAGCTATTGCTATTGAATACTGCCCAAATATACGTGAAACATCATCAATTATTTGTATGACACTGCAAATACAGGATTGGTCCCCATTCGGAGGATAAAAGACAAATACTTGAAGTCTGACACCTAGGCAGCTGCGGGCACTCATTTGCACGTGCCTGAAGCATGCATGCAAATATTTCAGTTGTGCAAAGAAATCAGGTATGCGTCTAGACACTAGCGCGACCAGTTCAGCCACATTACCCCAGCCTGCCAGAATAAGTCCTCAGGGTTGCAGCACACTGTCCTTTTCCCCTCACGCATGGGCAGGAGAACTGTATGAAATGCTGGGGCACTGCTCCATCACCTCCTCTCCTACAGCCCCAAACCTCTTCTGAAGCATGACCTGATCTGCGATCAAAATACAGGCATGCTCAGCACAGACCACGACACGCACGCATGCCAGGACAGGGTGCAACACTGGCAGGTTGGACAGACACATTTCTGGTCACGGGACTATCAGCACAAACAGCTCTTGAGGACTCTCACTTACAGTATGACCAGGAATCACTGCTTTGAAGGATGCACTACTTTTTATTAGTTGCCACGCTTTAAATTGCAAGCACAACTTAACCAGCGGTCAAGGCAAAGCCATGGAGGCCAGCAAAAAGGCTGGGTAATATAAAGTTGTGGCAGGTAGGAAGCTCTGGGCCTGGAGGTGTGACATGTGGGGCCTAAGGGCTACCCATTCTTCCTCCTGCACGATGTTAAGCAACAGGCAGTAAATATGGCATTCATTAAAATTACCTTGTATATTTTTAATAGCCTTGATAATCAGATTTCTGCCACTGTATTGGGAAGCAAAGTGTGTTTCTATTCAAGGCCTTGTAAAACTCTAATCTCTCCCTCATGCTCCGGGGGTGCCTGAAGCTTTCTAGTGCTCTTAATAGCCATTTTTTCCCCCTTCAAAATTCTGTTCTCTTCTGGAAGATATATCAACTAAGTGAGTGGAGAACTGGCTTTGTCAGTGTGAGGGGTAAACTGCTGCAAGGGGCAGCTTTAAACCTGCATTTCTCTCTATACATCATACACATCGGGGCCAGATCCTGCCCTCACTCACTGTGGTGCTGCAATTAAATTTTCTGCTAAGTAGAAAACCCTGAGAAGAAACACAGCATGGTCTACGGTGCAGCTCCTTGCTGCCTAAGAGTTAGATCTTGTCTCCAGCCTAAGAAGGCCGCTGCTGTAATTCTGAACATCTGCAAATACTGCAGACAATCTCTGGCTTTGGGGGAGATCAAAGCCTCCTTTTTCCACTCTGAAGCCAACCTGAAGCAAGTCTCCCGTGCTGGGAAAAGGTGAGAGCGTTGTGGGGGCACTGGTCCATCCTCAACAGATGAAAGGCAAAAAGAGTGAGGGCAACCTACTACAGAGCACAACCGAAAAGTTCAGTATACGGCCACATAATGTATACAGCTAGCTCTTTTAGCCATGCTGCCCGTGCCCACATGCGAGGCGCTCACGTCTGAATGCGCACAGACAAGCGAGGGCTGCAGGGCAAGCAAGTGCCGTACAGCTGCCGCGGTCCCAGGCGAGCCCTTCCCGGAGGCATCGCTGGGGGCAAAATTGCAAAAATAACCGATTTGACAACGCAGCCCGCCAGGAGACTCCAATTCAAAGGGAACCTGTTTCAGGGCAAACAAAGCATTTCCTCCGAGTCAAGCCCATCTAGTTTTTTTTTTGAACTTAGCACAGCGAGGGGAGCCCACAGGAACCTGCTCCACTGCACTGCAACCTGGGGCCCACGAATATACAGCGAGCGCTAGGACCCCAGAGGGCTTTGCAGCTGTTTGTTTGCAAAACAAAGCTTCCCCCCTCCAAGATGAAAGACATAAGGAGCCTACGTTAACCAAATCCTACGCGCCTGTTGGCCGAGGTTCAGCTTGTCAGTGATGCAGCTCAGCGGAGTGATCAACCTTCGCAGCGCTATGAGCTTGGTGGAAGGGGAAAACAAGGCAGAAAGCAATTCCACCTGGCTGGGAGTCAAACAGGTGCATGGCAGCAGGATCCCAGATTATAATAATATCTTGCAAACATGGAAAAAATAGATGTAATAAGACTGATTCTTGGGTTTTTATTAATGAATCATAAAGGCTTGCTGTACATTACACATGCTTTCTGGCATACGCTGCTAATATTTCCACACTTGCAAGGCTGGAGTTTTAATAGTGAGACACCCTCCCCTAAGGTTCCTCCTTTTTGGCAAGAAACACAAGGTGACTGTGTGCCACGACAGGCTCTATCTTACTGTGAGGCAATCAGATTACTTCGCACAGCTGGTTTTATCACTGGGACCATTAGAGATGAATTACATAGTATGTAAATGTACGTTTGCGTGATTAAAAAAAAAAAGTCTCAGCTCCTAGCTGCTGTCTTGTCGAGCTTCCTAAACATATTTCCTCACTCCTGTATCATTCCAAAGCCCAATTAGTCCAATCTCTACCCTAAAGTGACTCAGCTAGCTTCTGATAGGCATCTTAAATACACATTAACTAAGGAAATAGGCTTTCTTGAGCTACTGGATTGAAATGAGAGAGAACGAGCCTTAGTCTGAAGTATTCATGGCATCTATCTGTCAGGATGTCTAATATCACATACAATACAAAAGTAATACACTTTACGAGAATCACCAAAAAATAGAGAGTATCACAATGACATTAAAGCATGCAAGCAAACATCCTCTTGCAGGGAAAAAAAAATAAAAGAGAATATGATCATAGAACCAGCTTCACAATAAAAAAGAAAAAAAAAACCCCTATCTGATCTGAAATGGACCTAGAGACATTCACACAGATCCATACTCGGAGCAACACGGCAGCTCTTCCACTTCAAAAAGAAAGGGGTTGGGACCCCCACCCGCAGTGCAGTAACCCGGCTTATCGCAGACCGAGCCTCGCTCTTCGGACCGAGGTCTGGCCGAGGCCAGCGAGCCGCCTGGCCGCCGGCAGCCCCTGCCAGCCCTGTTGCTATCTGCGAAATTGCTTTAGGCGAAACGTGCTCTTTACCTGAGAGGCGTCTAGGCACATCGGTGATGGCAGGCAGTCCCGTGCCTCGAGTGGAGGACAGGGGAGTTGTGGAATGAATGGACGGTGAAGTCATCTGGCTCAAGTAGGATGGGTAAGACTGGTCATAGGACCATGGAGGGGATGACTGTGCCTGCCTGGGGTCTAGGAAAAAACAACAAAAAAAGAGAGAATTAAAAAAAAAAAGGCAGAAAACATTTAGGGTGCCAACAGCCTAATCGAAGTTGGGAGGGAGTTGCTGCATGTACACACATCAGCGCTACGAGGGGTAGGAAGGCAACGAACCGCGACCTGCTCCGCATGGACCCTGCTCCTTTCGGCCTGCCCTGTGCTCCTCGCTCTGCGGCATCATTTGGGGGCGACATGAACAGAGCGGGACAAAGCTCAAAAAGATACAGCAGCCGTTCTGCAAATCCCCTGTGTCCCTCGTCCAGGTCCACCCGAGCGTTACGCGGCGAGGTCAGGGCCGGCCGCCTCTCGTGGACGCGGGGCGACAAGCAGAGAGAGGTGGGGAGGCACGGGCGCGCTGCCGCTGCGCTCAGGAGGCGAGGAGACTCTGAAGTTAGCACTTGGCACGTCTGCCAAGTTATTATCCAGTTAAAACATTACACAGACGTGTTTTCAGCACGGAAAAGGCTATCCAAGAAGGAAAACGGCATTAAGTCTTAGTAGCATCTGGCCAAAAATGTCATATTTGGAGGCTGGCCCAATTACCTGCCATCACCTTAATTAGAACAATATGAAACCGAATGATTTGGGGTAACTATCGGAAGCTAGTGACGGCTTTTGATGGACTTTCTGCGGGTTATTATGGAGGAAATGATTTTAAGGATAAATACAGTTTATTTTTTGCTGAAGCGCTGGTGGATTGCACTGAGCGCGAAAGAGGAAGGGTTAGTTTTATCCGCTGGTTTGGGGATTTGCAAACCATTTGCTCTCAGCTTATGTCTACTGATAAAAGTTACCGCTGAATTCCTCATAAATTGTTATTTTTAGTTTCTTTGCGTTGATGAAAGCAAAGCACTGGCAACCCAAAAGTTTGGTCTGGGCACTGCACGAGAAACAGAAGACTGTCTCTGAACCGCCTGACAGAAACTGTTGCACTTTCTTCCCAGTTCTCCCCCCTATTTTCAGTGCAGCACATCAGGTCCACTCTGTCTGGAGAACCTGCTATATCTGAGCAGCGTCTTAAGGCCCTACTTTGTAGACAGAAATGTGATAGCCACATGGCATAAGCACAGACTCTTTTTTCAGGAAATTCATCTTTTTTTTTTTTCTTTTTTTAACTCCTTTCTCTGCTCTTCTACACAGCAAAACCTTGTAGTTTCAGCTATTTCTTATTTATTTTTTCTGTTCAGATATGATTTGTTTGAAGAGATGTCTAGAAAGCAGATACTTCCTCGTAGTAAAATAACCATATAGATGATTAAAAAAAAAAAAAAAAGATTTTCCAATTTAATTTTAAGAGGATTTTCCCTGAGTCTGCCATTTATATTAGAGCTGAGTAATACAAATGGTTAACATAAACTCTCCTCAGAAGTCTGAAGGACACTTGATCATTAAATGTAATGAATTTCTTTGTTTTAACAATTTCAAGGCGAGGGTTGTATAGATTGGCGCAGGTTCAAATCTGACTGACTGCTCGTTGTTATATCTGATATCGACATATTTCTCTGCCTCATTCCACTACTATAATTCACCATTCAGTCAATGGTAAATGATCTTCAACTGGGAACGGAAAGCCTAGGCTTGCTAGGAAAACAGTCTTAAAATTAATGATGTGTCAGGAGCAGAATCTCAAATCCAAGCTCCTTCAAACTCCGAGAGGTTTTCAATCTCTATTTCTAAATCCAAAAGAGTCCATTAAAGTTTTGATTTTAGGTCCGCTCCAGTGCTGGATGGAAATTATATAGCAGGTAAAGGCAGACCAAAAAATCATGGGAGAAGATGTTTTCACAGAATTTTGGTCTAAGATGGTGAAAAGCTCACGACAGGAACTGCCTCCCGGAGGGACACGCTTCTTCTCATAGTGCAATCCTCGTGGCTCGAGAAGATCCTGAGCGGCTCTGGCACTATCACCACTTTGAACACCCAAGCGAGATTTGTTTTGACATTTAACATCCTTAATTCAACAAGTGTGAATGCTTGGGAGGACACGAGAGGGATGGACTGCAAAAAGGCAACAGGCTCTTGCAGTCTTCCAAAACGATAAATAACCTCATCTACAATAAACGCTCTCACGTTGCCCTGTCAGAGGTAGAATGTGGGGCGGGATGGACCACGAGTCTGACCCAGAAGCATTTCCTACATTCTCAGAAAATTTAGCTTAAATTTACACACTGGCTCTATTGTTCATCGCAACTTCAGTGTCACATTACCAGATTTCTTTTTTTTTTCTTTCTTTATGTTTGGTTTCAGTTCTTGATGAGCACAATGCTGTGAGTTTTCAAACTGCAAAGCATTCGAGAGAAAGGCAAAAATGAGGCTGAGGACACCATACTGCAAACTAACCTTACTTCTGGCCCTGCCGCAGATTTCCTGTTGGACTGGGCTAATTCACCCAGCCGCCCTGCAACACAATTCTAAATTTAAGGACAATAATGACAGGTCGTTCCCTGACTGTGTATGTCTTGCGTATGTAGTTGGTCGATTCGTTAAGGTACGAGCGCTCTCCCTCCGATACCCTCACTCACCAGACGGGACGTGTACCTTGGCTGGAGGCTTTCAACCCAGATATTCAGGTGCGAACCTGAGCCCCCCTGAAACCAGAGGGAACGCAGCTTCGCTTGGGAGAAATGAGACCTTGTCTTGGCAGGGACTAGGGATGCATAAGGAGGGAAATCCCTGACCGAACCTCCGACGGAGCGGCTAGGAAAGGCGTCTCGGCAGCCGGGCGCCGTGGGCAAGGCAGCGGCGCGGCAGGCTGGAGGGGCAGCGACTGGGTGGGGAATTTTGCCCCGCGGCTCAGTGCCGGCGAGCGTTGTTTTTGGCTAGTTAGCAAACAGGAAACCGAAGGTACGAGTTTCACCGGATCCTTGAGTAAATGCCCTAAAACAAGCCTCTACTGATAACGGCAACCGTTTGTGCGGGCGAGCGAGGAGGGGACAGCGAAACGCCCTCGTGCTGCCCGGTCAGAGATGTTCTGCTAGCCCCAAAGGGTAAATTTTGCTGCTCGGTGGCATGGCCAAACCCCCGGCGGCACGGGCAAAGCAGCGCCGTGCAGCCCTCGCAGGGCGGGCGGCCAGCTAGGTCTCACGCCGCGCAACTCAGTCACGCTAGAGGGTTTTCCCC